AAGTGTAGAATTCTCTAGATAGGGGCCAAAGTGTAAATATTGGAGGGACTTATCATGTAAATATTAATTACACTTTAGTCCTTGGAGAGTAGTATAAATAGAGGTGCCACCATTTGCAAAGGCACCAAGCAAGTTGTAGCAATCTTCCAAAGCCTAATACAAAGCCTTCTTCAAAAAGCTCTCTCTTTGTTCTTTCCAAAACTTTCCTTAAACATTCTCTTAGCAAACCAAGTCCCAAAGGCTTCCTTGAGTTTACAAGAAGCTTGAAAGATTAGTGAGTAAACCGTCAAGGGCCACACGGAACTTTAGTCATCACTCTAAGTCCGTGACAATAAGTACTTACTTGCATACGGTATTCAGATCAAACAATTTAATTGTAGTAGTTAAAACTTAAAATGAAAATATATATCACTTAACATTATTAAATCATAGCTTTTATGAAAGGCACAAGTGCATTCATTTCTTTAATTTATAAATATAAATAAAAATAGTGAATATGAGTTAATATCTACTAAATTGTTTCATACTTACTTTTTACATTTTGACCAATTGGCTGTCGTTGAGTCTGGAGGTGCTTTGCTACTAGACAACCTCACTTGTCGATGAAATCTTTCTTTTATACTCTATTTAATTTATTTTACTTATCATATTCTTTTTGCACGTATTCTGAATAAACACTATTAAAATAGTAATTTTTATCTAACAATTTTTAATCTTAGTTTAATACTTCCTCCGGTCAACAATAAATAGAGTTAACCTTTAGTTTCGGTCTTATTTGTTTTGATTCAAAATTAAATACGTATCTATTTAAATAATCAAAGAGGAATTAACTTTTATTTACCAAATTCTTCCTTATTTACGTATACTTAAATAGTCTTTTAATTACTTCAGTTTTCTATGAAGGGCAATTAATTAAAAAGACTTTTATTTACACATGTTTTAAAGGGGTGTACCAAAAGCCAAAATATCACTTATTATATGGTTCTAAAATGACAACTATACTGGTCTACAATGGACGTTGCACACCCCTAACCAAGAAATAAATGAGGTGCATACTTTGTCATAATACATATATTAATTAATGTATTTGAAAAATGATTTAGAATCAGTAGTTAATGTTGAGAGTAAAATTGAAAAAAAATATTATCCTCTTAATATGTTAAAATAGACAAGTAAAAATAAAAAATATATTTTTAATATAGTAAACAAATAAAAAAAAACTAAATTGTATCGTTTGGATTATATTTTTAATAAGCACAATAATTGAAATGGACCGTACCAGAGAAATTATTTCAAGTGTTCTCTCATTTATAGAAATTGTTACTTAGGACCACATATTGGTTGCTGAAACAAGTTGGTGTTTTTTTAAATGATATCACACAATCCTCTCTTTTATGGGTGTATCTTTTAGAGTTAACGTGAGCCCTACAAATAATATTTTTACATGATATCAGAATTAACTAATATCGGTCCCTTTGTTATGTTTGTCATGTTGGGCCGGTAATCATGCTTCAGGAGATGTTGAGTCTTGAGCATGCGAGGATCAGTGTTTTCAAAAACATTTTTGGGGCGAGTTTCAGGGTGAGTTTTGAGGTGGGGTGTACCAAAAACGCTTCGGGGGATAAATTAAAGACGTAGATCCATAAGGCGTCAGTTCTAAAATTTGAGGCGTAAGCATCAAGCATAAAAACGTAGTCCCGAGAGTTTTTAATTTATTTTTTTGAACCTTTTTTGCTTTAAATCATATTTTTTATTATTGGTGTAATGATATTTCTCAAATAGTAATTATAATACTCTTTTTTTTCTTCATTATTGATTATTAATACTGATCAGTTATCTCAAATAAAAATCATAATATAATTTATATATATTATAGGATATTTATAAAAAATTATTTGTAAAATCATTGAAAGGTTTACTTTTGCTTATTTTATTTGTAATAAAACTATAAAATTGAATATACATGTGACTACGCCCCGTAGATCCATGAAACTTAATACGCCCCGTGTCTTGGGCTTATGCTTCGCTCCGTACTGTATAAAACGCCTCATCTCACGTCCCCGCCTTTTAAAACAAGGGAGTGTTAATACTAGATCATTTGTTGTAATTTTTTTATATCGTCTTAAACAATAATGTTATATTTATTTTAGGAGAAAATCAAACCAATTAACCAAGCATACATATAAATATATGAACACGTACAAATATTAGAAAGTTAGAAGGCTAATTTAAGATGTTTCTAACTCACATAACATCACAAAAGCTGTCACACGTACAATACATGAATCAAATTGAAGTAGAGTCTTCAAATAATATATAGTACTAGCTACTAAATTATTAGTAATATTATATAAAGTAAATTCTAATCCTTGAAGCCAGTTGTTGTGACAGGGAAAAGTTGTAATGTTTTTAGAGGTCTGTTATTGTTGCAATGGACAATATTATTATTAGAAGAACCTTCTTGATCTGTCATCAACATCCAATCCATACCGTTGCTTCTCATCATCCCATTCTTCCATAGGTACTTCATCATTTGATGAGGTGATGCATTTGTTCCTTCAACCTACATAAAGGACCACAAAATTTAAAAAACATAAGATCACAATCATTAAAAGTACATCTTTTTTTCCTTCTTAAGCTTTGTGTCGAGTCTAATATCACTATATAAATTCGTACGGAGGGAGTAATTGTTAGGAATTAGGATGCGATAGTTTTAAGGGAGGAGGAAACTTGCACCTAGTATTTATACCAAACCACATGGATTTACTATGATTAAGTGATAAACTGAGGCAAATCTATTTATAATACTCCCTTCGTCCCAATTTATATGTGACACTACTTCTTTTTACTCAATCACATAAATATTGGGACGGGGAAGTATTACTTATTAATTGTTTCACGGGAATTCAGAAACTCTTGCTCAAACCTTGTATATGAATACATCCACTAATTAAATATTATAACTACGATAATCTCATAAGAAAGGCCTAGAGCGGATGGGTGTACACAGTACTGCACACACGGATCTTATCTGACATTTGTGGGGTAGAGAGGCTAGTTGTTCCGATAGACTCCCAACTCAAGAAAAATCACTAATTAAATATTTGTGTTTGAACTAAGTTAAATTATTAAGGTCACGATAAAATAAAAAATCATAAAGTTCAAATTTGAAATCTATCTTGAGACATATACGTCATCCTCATAGTAGTATATTTAATTTTGCATGTACGTGCATGGACATCACAATCAAAACACTGAGACTATTCATGCACGTGCTAAATCTCGAGTAGACTAGAAAGACACATTAATAATGTACCTGATGAAGAAATATAGTTGGAGAGTTAGGGTAAAGTTGACAATTCACAGGCCCAGAAGCATAAGAAGATGAAGAAGGAGGAGAAGGAGGTGGAGGAGGAATAGGGTTTTGCTTTTGTTGTTTTCTCACTTTTTGCCTGTCTCTAGCTTTGTGGTTTTGGAACCAATAAAACACATTCTTCCATTGTATCTTTCCATACATAGAAAGATGGGAAGTAATCATTTGTACTTGACATGAATTTGGATTTGTCAAACCTTTTTTGTACATATCTTGTAAAATCATAAGCTGTTGTGGAGTTGGTTTCCACCTAGCTCTAGCCATTTTTCTTCTTTTGTGTGTGTGTGTGTGACTAACAAAAAAGATTCTTGATGTTTCTCTTTTAAGGGTTTAATTCAAAGTAGTAAACTTGTGTCTAGTTTTATTGGGAGAGAGTATGTAGTATAGTACTATAAATAGATAAGAAGGGTAGACGTCAAGTGGAGTGAAATAAGTAGTCATGCTGGTGTCATACAATGATAGAGGACAGGACGGAGCTAGCCCCTTGTACGTGGGTTCAGTCGAATTCAGTAGATTTTGTTCAAACAATGTGTTTGTATTTAATAAATTTATTAGATATATATATAAATATTAATTTTAGAATCTAGTTGTTTTCGATTAAAGTCTTCGTTATAAAAATTCAGAACTCATAAAATTAAAACCCTGATTTCGCCTCAGATAAAAAGGAGAGTAAGTTGGGGCAAGTCATTTAATTAGGTTGGTTGTTCATTTCTCTGCATTATATTACTGGAACGAATCAGGCAAAATCTTAATTACACTGTGGACCTAAGATCCATTTCTTATCATTTGGCCTCTTTGGATTGGTAGGCATCATTAGACATTAATTAGATAGAGGAGATATTATTTGGTACGGATTTTTCTTTGTTCACGGGATTAATAAATTATGAGAGAATTGCATATAAGTATAACTAACACACATAGTTTGTGATAGAATGGTTTAGTTTTAATTTAAAAAATTTACATCCGCCCCCCCAACTGTATATATTTATACACTCTCCTTTTTGTCCTTCTTGGTTTGTAAGAAGAAAGAATTTTCATAAGTATAGTTTGTATCATAATTATGAATATTAGTTATAGTTTGCTTAATTACAATGCATAGCAACGATTTTAAAGAGAAGAAAAGCAAGCAAGAGTTTGAAAAGAGAAAGGAGAGATGCTAGATGCAGACTGTATCATAGATATAACCTGATATAAGATTGTAGCTCAAATACATAGATACCCATATTAGCTTTAAAACAACAATATAAATACACTTATACACATACATATCAATCATCAATCAAACACAAATACACAAATACATATACTAACTTTGAAACTGAAATATAGACACACAGATACACATATGTATCAATTATCAACGGAACACAAATACACAGATATACATGTGTATATGATACACAAAACTCAAGAATAATCGGAGAAAAAGAAAAGATTCAAAAACCAAGAAATATCTAATGCACGTTAATTGTGATACATGTTTTTCATCTATAGAATATACATTTGATACTCTCTTTACCTTACCATGAATAAATTTTTCAAAAGAAAGAAGATTAAATAGATGTGTCAATTATCTACTTTCTGGCGATACAAACACATTGATATTCCCTAAACTTGACGATTGTGAAATTTGTGGTTTATTATATAAAAAAAATATTATTGCAAGTCCCCAAATTAAATCTAGACTTTGTGCGAGATGTTGGTGAAAGTCGGATTTCACATTCTTTTATTTACAATTTTGAGTCTGTTTTGATTTGGGAAGACAAAAGCAAGAAGATTTAATGACAACTTCAAAGAGGGAGAGAAAGACGTGACAGAGAGAGGGAATGGGGCATCGAGAGAGGAGAGATGCAAGCGAGAAAGGGAGAAACATATTTGTTACTTCCTAAGTTTAAAAAAGAATGAGTTAGTTTGACTTGGTACAAAGTTTAAGAAAATAAAGAATATTTTTCAATTTTGTCATCATAAATTAAAGTTACATCAAATGTACCATAATGTCATTCAATCTTGTGGTCTTAAACATGCCACGTGGAAAAATTAAAATTAAAATGTTGCCAAAAAAAAAAGGGGGTCATTTTTTTTAAACAGACTAAAAAGGAAAGTAGATAATATTTTAATATAAATCACTAAAAATAATTATGTTAGATTAATATCTTAAAACTATAATTATACTAGTAAAATAATGTTTGTTTTGTTAATTAATTTTTTCTGATAAATCCTTCCAGTTCCAAAGCGAAAAAAAAGAAGAAGGTGTAGCTTATATAAAGTCTAATTTTAATAAATATAGCTACGTATTTTTATTGAGAAAATAGTCAAATGTCTCCTCAATCTATTATCGAAATTCTAATTACACACCTATACTTTACGGGATTTCTATTATCTCCTTGGACTATTTTAAAATGAAATTAAGTTCACCCTAAAATGCTATATCCAATTCTAATGTGTGAAGTGAAACACACGCACCCACACATATGTAACAAGTGTATTTTCGATTTAAATCTATTTTTTATTTACTTTCTTTCTCATTCTTCTTCTTTTCATTACCCTTCATTATTTTTTCACCATTAAAACAATATCAAACCTTCTTCTAGTGATAGCTAAAAATGCAAAAGAGGATCAGATTTTTGAAAATTCTTATCAAAAATCTTTTTCTAATGATAATTTGAACAAAATCATTAATAGGTATTGTTGGAAAGACAAATTGATCAAATGGATTAAGAAAAAAATCAACATTTCTATTGAAGATGAACAAGGAATTGAATTTATTTTATTTCTTTCTCTGATTGTAAATTATGTGTAAATAAAATTATTGATCTAATGTTTGTTTTTGGGAAACTCGGAAGATTGATTTGTTATATGAAAAGTGAGGTAAATTATAAAGAAAATTGAAAAAAAGAAGAGATTAAAAGGTTGCCGATAAAATCATCTTTTTAGTTCTTTGGCTTCCTCTTCTCCGTCGATTATCTCCTCCCCGTCACGGGCACCATCAATCCGTTGAAGATGCATTCTCTGTGCCAACTTAGCATTTAAGGGGTTATTTATTCCACTTCAAAATAGTCTACGGTTGTAATAGAACCCCGTGAAGTACAATTATGTTATTGAAAATTCACAAATAGATTGGGGACTCATTTGACTATTTTCTCTACTTTTATTCGAAGTTTAGTCATCTAACATTTTGAGATGCTAACTTGTTAATTCATTATTTTTAAATAGTAATATTTTTAGTAAAAGATATAGTGAATTCATTTAATTTATCCTTGATGAAATGTAATTTACTCCTAATACGTACCTTCAAAATAAAACTTAAATTAGTTTAATCAATTATCCTTCGTCCATTATTTGAAACCAAACTCACTTTTCAACAAAGCTCAATATTAATGTTTATTGTGAACTTTTACCTATAGTCGACTTTTAGTAATTATTGGAGTACTTCAGCTAATTATTGTTGAGCCAATAATTCTTTCACTTGTGAAATTCAGTACCTATCCAATCACACCTAATCTGGTACTATTTTGTTCAATTTTTACGTAGCATATTTTGCATCAAGCCGCCCTTTTGGCTGCCATAGGCGGCTGGCTCATTAAAGTAAATAGAGGGAAAAAACTAGGGCGTGTGATAAAAATCAATTCAATATATGCCATTCGTTTAAATAATTTGTCCGTTTATTAGTCCAATTCATTTTTTTTTTATGACAAGGGAAACCCAAAATCGCTACCTTTTGGGTGTGCACAAGCCACAAGGTAAAACCTCCGCTCCTATGCAATAGCTCGCAAACCACATGGGAGAAGTCACCCACACTAGGCCATCCCGGTGCGACGAGCTCGACCAGAAGGCAAACCCCTTGCTTTTGCTGGCAAGGGATTTCGAACTTGAGACCTCTAGCATGAAAGTCCCAAACCCAAATCACTGAGTCACCCCGAAGGATATTAGTCCAACTCATTTTAATTCAACAAAAATTGAACTCATATGTATGTAGTTCAAATTCTTATGAGAAATCTTATCAAAATATATTTTTAAAATGACTTTTAATTTATTTGATGTGTTTTACCTAAGTCATAAAAAAGAAAAAATAACAATTTTGTTGGATACTAAAAACTTATAAAAGAGTAACTTGGAATTATAGTAACAATTGAATCACCAACAAGGGTTGTGGTGGATCAATAAATATCCTTTCATTCTTAATTAAAGATCTTAGATTCGAATCCCCATGAAGACAGAGTCGGACTCTAATGTGGATATCAAACACTGGATAAAAATTTCAAACTATAGGAAGAATTAGTGCATATGATCAAAATGCTTCTGTAATTAGGTAGTTTTTAAATAACTTTTGAATATTTGACCCGTGCAAATTTAATCAACTCCCCTCATTTGACACCACAGAGAAAATACACGTACTGTATCTCATCAATAGCTGGCTTTCAGTACGCTATGCACTCAATTGGATTCAGTTACCGTACAACATGTATTGAATCTCACACCTCTTAACTACTTAGTAAATAATACATTCGTTTATTATTGTTTTATCAGAAATGTAGGTATAAACATAACTCCTAGGTGCAACAACTCTTTGTCTAACTACCTAATTAATCATTGAGCTTATTCAATCACACCTAAGCTGGAGTTTTTATTCCTTTCTCATTCAAGTCAAAATGCTAAAAATAGACATATTGTACTAAGTTTGGCCAAATTATTTTAATGTTGAAAAATTAAAAGTATTTTTATTGTTAAAAGTAGTAACAAATTTACATTTAGCTAATTAATTTGAAAAAAAAAACTAATTTTAGTACTTAAACTACTTTTGAGAAAATCATTTTTTTCAACTTATGAAAAACAAATTAGATCTGCCAGTTTTTAAAAACAGTTATAATTGTCCTAAAATAAGCATGTTTTAAATACTTTTCTTTGTAAGCTCTCGATACTCAAGTTATACTCACCAATGCTGGTGAGGATTAGACATTAATCCCTAACTTGTATATATAATAACTTATAAGGATGCACATTCTAAGATAATATTAGTAAATAAAAAAAAATGACTTCTCAGAAGCTTGACCAAACAAGACTAGTAATTTTTTACGTGTTTCATTACTCTAAATTCTATAAGTTTTCAGTTAGGTATAAGTCTTTAAACCCTACATTACTTCAAATATAGTCCATGGACCATATTTTTAATTACCTTGTTTATGGATTTGGGCACTAAGCCTCGTTTTTGTCTTTACTTTCCAAATATATAAAACACCAAAATTCTATTAAAAAAATATGTCCAT